TAAAGGTTATAATCCCTAAGGCAGAAGCAATTGCAACAGGGGGTGGACCTAATAAAGTGCATGTTTTCAATGGCTTGGAAGAAGTTGTTGTTGCATTAACTGGATTGAGAACCAGTTCTTCAGGCATAGGAGTAGTTCTGGCTTGTGGTTCAGCAATTCAACCGGAAGCTGACATAGACGCGTCCATGGTTACTATGCCCGACAGCTCCGCATATCTTTGTCAAATCATTCCCATAGCGCGCTCTTGCTCCGCTGCTATAATTGCAAATGCAATAGAATCCACCGTTTCCTTCGAAATATGTAAAATCAAAACATTTTACTATAAATAAGCACTTCATGAATGTTTTTTTAATTCCTTTCCACTTTGTTTTCCTTCATTCAGCTATCTTCGAAAAACAACTGATAGCTGGCAATGCTGCACATGTTTCCGCAAGGGTTGCAGCATGTGGATTTTTCGTTTTTCGTAGCTGAGCTACGAACTACGAATTACGAAAATTCGGGTTCTAGAATAAGGGGGATAATTTCGGAGAGGTAAGGAAGTGTTGATTGAGAAAGTACATGAAACCAAGGATGCATTGTAACGTTAATTTCAGCGTTTACCAAAAAAAAAAATTCAATCGTTTCTGTTGAAACGATTCACTTTTTTATCGTTTAGGTAATTTATCAAAATAATTCTATTTTGCTTATTAACGTTAATGCTGAAGCTGTAGCATGCATTTAGGTGCTAGGCATGATACAAAAAAGAAGGTAGTTTCATTTAATGGCATTCCTTGTTTTTGTTAACCATTTGACTTTTAATAAAATTATGACATTTCATCAAATTCATGCTGCCTGATCACTAGAAGAAATATTTTTTTTTTCTTTTAACCAGAAGATTTTATCAGTACATTCAACGATGTGGAATATGATGAACTAGAAAATTATGCCTGCTACATGATTTCGAAAATGGGGTTGACGACTAGGTTTCAGAAAGCATGAAGAAAGTGTATGCTTACATATCGTCGCTTAAAGTACCAAACCGCGTATCGTCGTTCTGCAAAACCGCGTGACTGACATTTTTTGCCAAAAATGGGATTTGCTCACACAAGCTTTTGGCTCAAGCCTTATCCATTCGTCCTGAAATGTGATTTCTTTGTAAAAAAAGAGAACCATTTTGAAATATGAGTGTTTCTCTACAAAACAATTTATGTAACCTCACATACGCAGTTGTGCATTTTGTTGATACACGTTTATGTACTTTAAACGAGGATCTGTTAGTTGTTTATCGGAGGGCGATCTCTTCAAGCCGACTTCAGGTATTTTGCATAAATTAAGAATTTGTGAAATTTAATGATGATGCGCTAATCACAAAGCCTAATTTTTTGCAAAATCTTATGAGAAATTTAAAAGTAAATTTGAACCGAAATATAAAAAGGTTTTATTTGGGAAGAACATCCTTTAGATTCGAATCGCAAGATTGCATTCAAAATAAGAAAACAAAAAAATAGCAGAATAATGCGCGCGTGGTTTTTATTACAAAATGAAAAGAACAATTACGATGAAGTCTCCTTTAACAGTTTACATTTTAAATATTTTTAATAAAAAAAAGGAGCGAACCACGTAAGTAAAAAAAGTACCAAACACTGATAATTACCATTAATGGTTTTTAATTTCAAATGTCATTACATTGGTATAAATATGGGAAAGAAAATACTCCGATTTATTGTTTTAATATCATCAAAGTGGCAAGGCCGTTGATAATACTCACAACTTATACAACTTATAAACTTAAAAAAATTTTATTATCCATCAAAAGTTGTTTATTGAAACTAAATACCTTCTTTTTTGTATCATGGTCATATATATAATACTCCTATATTGGCAGTAAGAGCTAGTACCGTCCGAAAACACTACAGTACAGATATATCAATAAACACGTACGAAAGAATAGAAACACATACGTTTATAAATATGTAAACATGTACACAACACATATACAAAAACGGCACTCAAGTACACAATACATTGACAAAAACAGTACTAGACTGTCTCGCTTTGATTTCGGAATGCTTACACATTGAGAAGTTAGCTTACTGCCAATATAGACCCAATAAACATTTGGCTTGGTTAACAATTCTAAAATGATTGGAAAACTAACATTTTTTTCAAGTCTCACCTTCGATAATGAATGTGGAATATGTTAGTATTCGATTCGAGAACTAGGCCATTCTCCAGCAAAACGGAGCCTTCGTTATCCAATGAATTTTTCCTTCGTTCTGAATTCGAAATCCAGCCCATTATCGAATTGAAATTTTAATGAGAGAGAGTGTTTGTATTATATTTCCATTCAAAAATGAGCTGGATTTCACTTCCTCTCTTGTTACTATGGTTTTAATTTTTTTCGAACACATCTCGAATGTATTTCCAATACATTATGAACGTTGGAAAACTAAGGTTGGTTATGAGTTCGTTCTCAGTTCGATATTTATATTGGATATCGAAGGTAATTTTCGAACGTTCGCCAAAATGTTTATAGGGGAAGTATTACATATAAGATCATGGTGCTAGGTGTTTATAGTGAGTTGGCAATGGCATACAACAACAACTTTTCGTTGATTTATTTTGTTTCGCTGTTAACGATTGAAGATTTATTTCGTTTCGACGTTAGCGATTGAGTTTTGTTTCGTTAATTCAGCTCTGCAACGAAACGAAATTATTTTGACAAGCTATTTTTGCGCATCAACAAAACGAAATCGATTCATATAGTTTGTTGAGCATCTCTGCATAAAACCTGTTGACTTTTAACGTTCCTAGCAACTTCCAAAAGAAGAAAATGTATATTCCTATTATCCGCGCAGAATATTATTTATATGTGGTATATGAAGGAATTCCTTCATTTTTACTAAGTGACCTTAAATATATCGTCCCACCTACTACGTTTGTGTAGGCCTCAACTAAGTTGTAACCCATTTGCAAGCGCTAAGCTTGTCCCGTCCGTTTAAGATTGGATTGTTTCGGAAACTCCAACACGTTTTCTGATGCCACAGTCGATAAGTCAAGTAGACCTTTCGTAGTCTACAGCGACCTAAAAGTGCTTTAATAAAAATTCTCAATTTAGTTTTTTGAATGTTTAATAAGATTTTCTACACTTCTGCACTCCAAATTGAATAGGAAAAATTTAGTGGAAAGGGCTAAGAAATCCCTAGCAGCATAGTACAAGCTCAAAAGGACATTTGGAAAGCAATGGGAATTGTTGCGGCGCCTGTGGGATGTATACCGCAGTCATCAGACCAATTTCCAACCCACTGGTCCTTAGTATGGTGGAAGGCTCTAGAAAAAGGGAATAACAGGAAAATAATAGGAAAATTGCAAAGACTCGCATGCCTAAGGTCGAGGCCACGCAATGAGCGGCAAAGCGGTGAGCGGCGCCATACAAAAACACCGCTCAGCCGCTCAGTGCATGGCCACTTCAACAGTGTTTCATATGTTTTAATTTTGAGCCGCTTTGCCGCTCATTACAAAATGCGCCCTCAGGCTCAGTGAGGGCCAATACATGGAAGACAACCAATTTCGAGTATGCAGAAATACTGAATGAAATAAAAGGGGGCCGGCTCAATGCAATTAAAGCTGACATAGAAGCTAGCACTGATTACATTACGCCTGCTTGGGAATTCAATACTAGAGTTCCTATGAGGTTCCCGGCCAAAGAAGAATTGGATGCAGGAATAACAGTACCAGAGGAAGGACTGCAGATCAACCGATCCTGACATCATCTGAGTGACAGCAGCGTCTTTCAAACAAAGATCTACGCTATAGAAGTGGTGGCTAGTCTTTTACGTAGTAGTATGGTTCCAGAAGATTGAGCCACTATCTTTGTCGATAGTCAAGCAGCACTGAATACAGTAGGATCTAAAATAGTGATATCTGGTATTCCATCGTCGGTCGCACAAAGCTAACGTAACTGAGCCATATCAACGTCACTCTATGCTAGGTCCCCGGACATAGCAATATTGAAGAGAATGAGTCGGCTACTGAGATGGCCAGATACGGAAAATGTATGACTAATATATTGTTTTATAAGCAGGAACGTTGCGAGACCACAAGATTATTAAGCCGCGGCTTAATAGGAAAAAGGCGAGGGACCCACTGAAGCTCAATAGGTCTGCAGTAAGAGTCCTTATCCTTGTCATCACAGGACACTATGCTATAGCACCAATGCTTAAATAGTGTCGAATACCAACAAGTAATCTCCGCAAAAGCTGCTGATATGAGGATGAGTCAAATTGACCACCTTCTGTGTCGACGTCCGGGTCTAAAGTCGAAGCGCCTGAATCACTTGGGTTCACACTTCTTCAACAGTCTGAGCGAGATAGCGAAGTTGGAACTGTTGGATCTCCCCGGCTTCATTAGGGATAGTAATTGGTTCAGTAGAATGATTTGAAAGTACTTAGCTACTCTCTCGGTTTTGGGTACATGTCTCCGCCTGACACTCGCTTGAAGAGGACACTCACAATGGACAATTCTGTATCAGAGTAGGCTAACCTAGCCTACCCTTTGATGTTAGACCTTAGCAATAAGAACGTTCGCTGAACGGTTACAGTAAAATTTGTTATAACTGCTTCCAAGTAAAGATCATTGGCATGAAACCCTCCTCCCCTTTTGGTTACGCGGTCTTACCAGCATGGACTGTTATTTTATGGACATTTTATTTTTAACTTTAAAGCCCAATAGGTCTGCTGTGGTATGCCAAGTTTTCAAAGTAATCTGAAGGTATGTATTTAAATTATTCCTTTCGGCATTAATGCGAATAGTGACACAAAACACAGCTCCTCCGTTATCCAAATGCCTAAAGGTGTATACAAAGAACTTGACTAAGCAAAGAACTGACTTTAGAATATCGAAACCAGTAATAACTCTCACGCTTTAGGGGACTTAATTGTATGAGGGGCGGACATACTTCCAACCCTTTATCTGCTTCTTACTATTTTTTACTTATTTTGAAAATATCCGGCACTTTGCAGAGCTCGGTATTGTAAAGCAAAAGTCGCTGAAGATCGATGTAGATCTAGAAAAGCAAGAGGAAGCTACAAAAGAACTGGAGCGTGACATAGAAATATTCTTAACGAAATTGGAGATATTGAATAAAAAAATAAGTAAGGCGCGCCAGCAGCATGATACCGAGGAAAATGAATGCCAATTGGAGCACACGGAGCTAGTACTCAAATTAAAGGTAAGCCATTAACGAGGTTTCTTAATGCTCTCAGCCTCTAACAAAACGAATTTCTATTTAATTTACATAGGACCACGAAATGAATGTTTTGAATATGGAAGCCGAAATTGATGAGCTGCAGGATGAGATCGAGCATTATAAAGACTTGGTATTGGATAAACATCGCGAATCACTCTCGTGGGAGACCAAATATAAGCTCATAGAGGAGACGCTGCGTTGGCGCAAGGATGAAACGAATCTCACCAGCGAAATCGGTAATATGAAATCGGAGATACATCGCATGCGTATACGTTTTCAACAGCTGATGCGCGCTCAAGAGAAGCTTGCACAAGATTTGCAACATGGTGTGGCACATCGTGAGCACATCTATGTTGCCGCCTCGGCAAAGAAGTTGGCCGAGGTGAAAGCACAACGCATGAAAACTGGTATTTCATCCGAGCAGAAAGTCATCGATTTGCGTAATCGTTTGAAGAAGATACAAAATGAGATAAGCATCATTAACGATCAGCAACTTGTAAAGGTTACTCGCGAAAACGAACGCATACGCGCCGATCTAAATCGTTTATACAACAATATTGAAGGTGAAAAGGCAAACGACGAAGAGTATCGCCAGAAGATTGATGAGTGCATGTTGTTGAAACATTACAATTTAGAGCGCATTGTACGCAAACAAAATCGGGCAAAGTCCTATAGGCGTTTGGGTGTGGGAACTGTAACACCGAAAATGCGTTCCGATTCAACGATAGGACAACTGGTACAAAAGCAAATGGAAATCAATGATAATCTCTTGGACGTAGTGCAGATTTTGACCAATGACTTTGCAGAAAAGAAAAAATTCTTTGCAAAAATTATCCAAGTTCTAAGAGACTAAGAGGTATATACATACATATATATCTATATCCTTTTTCAGAATATTTGCCTTTAATTAACGATTTTTTTGGTAAATAAATATATTTCGGACATCGAATTTCTTAAAAATATTTTTACTATTTACTTCCCGCCCATGGTGCAATTATTGCAAGTACATATTGTCTTCCCAGAGAGTATTGCTTCACATCGAAATTCGTGCTCTATTAGTTTAATTTTTAACCGACTTCACAAATTTTATGTATGTTACCGCATAACTTCGGACCACGTTAACCGATTTTGAATTGAAGTCGGTTTTGTTTTTTGCTTAAAAATTAGTTGTGACCAAGGCATATCAAACAGGTAGTAGCATTAGAGCAAAAACAACATTTGCGTGTATTTTTTTGTTGCTTCTGATATCGAAAGTGTCAAAAACTGTTGATTTTTTTCTTCTAAATCAAAGCATGCCATGTGAAATACAAAAAAAAAATAAAGAATAAAAAATTGAAATTGGAAAAAAAATAAAATTGTTGCCACTTTTTTTCTTAGTAAATTTGCTTGCTTCTCGAAGCATTGATCCGTCCTTTGCAAGGCCCAGCCATCAGCGCACAGTGGTCAATAAATGGAATTTAATGTTCATAATTCACTGGAGCCTCCATTTCTCAACCAATTTCATATTTTTTTTTGTATTTTAAATCAAAGCTAATAAAATTTTCAAGAGGCTAGTTGATCCCGAATTTGAATTTTTATTTGTTTATATTAAATTTTTTAGTGCAAAGTGCAGAAAAGGTGCCAATATTGAAGAAGATCGGTTATCCTGTTCCAGCTAATAAAAGTTTCATAATAAAAACTAAGTAAAAATAATTGTAGGGTTATCCCAAAACGAAAAAAAAATTAAAAAGTTTGAAATGTTATAAAAAAAATTTCACCAAAAGTATTTTTTTTTTTTTGGTTTTTATAAAAATGTGCATTTATGGCAAAATATGTAAGAATATGCACTAACAAATCGATGTCATCTTAACACAAAACTCTTGATTCGCAACATTTGCTAATCTTTAAGTTCCTATGACTTACCAAAAAAAATTTAAATGCATAGAAATCCGGGCCCTGGTTATTAATTTTCCATTCAGTATACTTTTAGGCCCATTGCTTTTCATTTAGAGAATTTTGGCGACGAAAATTTTGCGTAGCGATTGTCAGAATTCCAATACAAAAACCAGAAGCGAGGAAATGAACAAAACTCTTTTTTAACAATTTTATTACTTTTGAAATTGAGCGCATCTGTATATAGAACTTCTTATTAAACAAGTCATTTTTTAGCAAAAAAACATAACCGACTTCGATTCTCGTATACAAATTTAGGAATACCGTTAATTTTTTCATGATCCAATGATCGGATCTAAACCAAATTACGGGACGACCCTTGAGAGGTACCACATTTCCGATAAAAAAAGAACTATGGAAATCGGTTCACGTGGTCCACAGTTATGCGGCAGCATACATAAAAAAGAAAAAAATATTCCGTCGAATTGATAACCCTTTCCCTTTTTTGAAGTCGGCTAAAAATGTTTGAGGTCTTTGTTAATTTTATGTAAATAGAGTGCAATTTATGAAACTTTAAAGTTTATTTATTTACATAAAACTTGCATAAATGTATCTAAAGAGCATATTATCTGAAGCGAATTTTCTGAAGTATAAACCCCTAAATAAATTCCTGGTCCCGCCCCTGATGTATTTTATATTGGGAAACACTTTTTCGTAGACAGGGTATAGAGTTAATTGAAAATTAATACTTTTCGATCGAAAAACCTTGTTTCTCTTCAGAAAACTTTTACCATATTTTAATACTAGCGACTTTTTATTGGTCCCCCTCATTGCGTTTTTTTAAGAATTGTAGAAGGCCTATAAAAAATAGTTAATATTAAAAATGATTAAATAAACAATTGGGTGTTATGGGGCATCCATAAAGAGAAACAGAATTTTCCGATCGAAAAATACTGATTTCAAGAATTTCAACAAAAAGAATTATTTTTCTCCATATAAAATACAAGGAAATCTTTATGGGCTTTGAGGCAGTTCTAAATATCTTCTTCCTTTTAACAAAAAATACGGGTATTCCTATTTTTCCATTTAAGAAAATCCTAACAGGCGAGAGCTTGAGATTTTAAACTTTTTTCCCGCTTAATTGATCTGTACTTTACAAAGACATGCTGAGAGTGGCTTCTGTTTCCTACACATACACAGACTAAACCAGGTACCGAGTGCAAGAGATATGATCGAAACCAAAGGTCGTTCTCGTTGTTTTGTTCCCAAGAACGCTTAAAAATCCAAGCCAAAATGAGAAAAAATCTTCGGGAATGTTTTCACAAAAACGAAAGTGAGTAGGCTGTCGAGAAAGTTCTCAACGGGAATTATACAAGAAAAAACTCTGTGGACCCTTCCCAAAGAGAACAAATTGCGAACAATATTTTCGGGAACATTTCTAAAAGAACCAAAAAAACAACAAAAATGTCCGGAACTTTCTTACAAAGAAAAAAAACTGGAACAATAGTTTAAAAGGAGCAATTTCTCAGGAACTATCTGACAGTCACCCTACTGATAAATCACTGAAACGATTTTTCATCGCAACACGCAGCCGCCCCTCTGATTCTTAACGTTATGATCTCAAAACTTGTATTCTCTAGCAGAACGTTTCCCCAGAATTTTGTTCTTATTTGATCCTCCTTGAAAAATTTTTCGATACTTCCGTTCTCTTTGGAAACGTTCCCGAAAGTTTCGTTCTCATTCTGTTCTTTTCGTTTTTAGAAGTTTTTTCTCTATTTTGAGAAAGTTCCCGAGAGTTTTGTTCGCATTTTGACCTTTTTGGAAACATTCCCGAACATTTTGTTCTAGTTCCCGTTCATATTGCTCTGAACGCTTTTGTTCCCATTGTTCTCTTTTGCGGGAACGCTCTTTACGTTACAGTTCTCGTGCAGAACTAAAACATAAACCGGAGCGCGTTCTCGGTCCCTAGTCTTAACTTCTTGGAAGATATGTGATTTTGATGGCTGTGGAGGCACTACCAAGGCCTGTCTAATTCGGCTAGTCTAAACCCTAAATAGCGGTTTAGTCATCTCCGCGGCGCGCAGTTTTCATTGGTTGAGTATATGATAAGAGATGTGTGAAATATTTACGGTGCCAAAGAGGTGACTTATACCGTTTAATCCGTTTCCGAATGCGAACCGATGCTTTCGATGTGCACATTTAGTCTTGCTCTGTATGAATTGAGTCTGCTACACCAACTGGATCGGAGTTGGCTCAGTGTAACTCTGGTATATCGGGGACGTCAAATTCTCTTAGGGGATACATGTAGGTGAATGGGGGCAGCCTAGTTGCGAACGCGACTGCTTTATGGTGTAAGCTATTCTTCCATGTAGACTCCTCTGCCCAAAGGGTTTCTCGCGTGCTAATCTAGGTGTCCCAGTTTACTTAGGTGCTGTTTATAAGGTGTTTCGGTTAGTTCTGGTCTTATCTTGTAGATGTTGCTCCGCCGAAACGAAAAGAGAACCTGTAGCGGAGCGAGTGGCAGTATTCTACCCGGTTTGGAGCCTGGTCCACTGTGCATTGCTGGTGCCCACCGACAGGTCGTCGTTGTTTACATATCATCCGATAATCTAGTAGGTGGCAAGCAGGACCTAATTGCTGCTTCGGAGTTTGCTGCTGATTGTCGTGGGGTGAACCTAGAAAGAGAGCAGGCTATTAAACGTTACAACCCGTATTCGTGGGTGATTTACGGTCAGAATTTTTGTGCCATCTGTCTCTAGGTCCAACTCCAGCCTGACGTCTTTCACCAAGGTTATGAATAAGGTGGCCGTGGACTCCGCGAAGACTTCGCGTACTAAAAGACCGTTGCACAAATCTTCGATATCTTGCCAGTTGCCATGATGGAGCGGAAGATTGCAGAGGTACATGCTAAACAGGGTTGGAGGTAACCTTAATTTACCTGTTGACATCAAGCGCTTGATATATAGTGGTGAATCAGTGTACAGTGTAGCGTGGAAATCGGTGTCGAGGGCCATCGACAGATCGAGTGCTACGAAGATTTTACGTGCACATGGGCTTCTGATTGAGAGCGTCTTTTATTCGAGCGTTAATGGCGTTTATTCCTAGGCTGCTTTGATCGAGTCGAATGTAAAAATGGCGTTAGCTGAGTCTAAGTTAAGTTGTCGAACGCCGCTTTGTATCGTGCATCATCATACGTGTAGTCTACGTGCGCTCTCCAGTCATACAGCTGTCATTTCCCGTGTTGAGGGGCGGACTGCAACTGAGAAGGAAAAAAAGTATCGAATGGGATAATTTTTGTAACCCATAGCGAAGGACAAACCGCTATCGAACGTGCTCTCAAGCTCTTGGGAGGTGGTACGCAGTAGATATTTTTGGGCCTCAACTTACACGTCGAGTTCTAGCCTAATCTCCTTGGTGCATATGGTGAAAAATGTGACATTGAAGAGACTAGACAGGTTAACCGCTACTTGATCCGTCCTATTATAAGGTCAACGTTGGTCCAAACCCTCACTTATCTGAATAGTGATGGCATGCACTGCTATCCATGCTGCTATTCAGACTATTTTAGGATGCTAAGTCAGTCTGGGGAGAAGATAGAGGGAGATAAGGCAAATTTGTCTGTACGGTTCTCCTGCGTTCGCCATCTGTGGCTTAAAGGGTAATGGATTCTACGTATTTTCCACAGCGTCGGGTTTAGTGCGCACCCCTAATTCAACGTAGCAGTCTCGTCTTTTCTGAATTCAAATAACGATTTACCTCCACACAGATATCTGGTTATCTACCGTTTCGTACGGGATGAAAGTGAAGAATACAGAATGGTTTGGCAAGGGGTCGTATGGTTAACGGTATCTAGTACCTTCGAGATCAAGCGCAACGATAACCGTCCTATCGCAAGGTGGAATATGATCCAGACCCTCAGTTATGTGTAATGATGGAGTTGACTTCTGTGGTGTTGCTTTCCATGCTGCTATTCCTACTATTGTAAGATGT